CAAATTTGAGTACCCAAACCTTTATGCATTCACATTTAAATTCATATTACCCGCAGTTACATCAGTCCGCGCAGGCCCTTCTTTGCATTTGATGGGTTTCTTCACATCCAACGCCCGCGAAGGTCTAAGAGCTTTTTCGATTGTGGATTGCGCTGCTGCTTGAAGACTGCCGTCTTCATTACGAATGTCGTAGAATGCTGCTCAAGTTCAATCTCCTTGCAGCCTTGTCACACTGATACAGCAACAAGAGCATGACCACCTTGATATTGATGTGGACTTATTTGAGAATGAAGAATAGATTTAATTCATCAGCGACAAAAAAAGATATGTGTATCTCATGCATACAAAATTCATACTGTTTATGTAGACAGTTTAGAAATTGTGTTCTATTACATGAAGTAAGAGAGCAAGAAGAAAGTTGAGGTTGGAAAAACGCTAACTGAGCCAACAATAAGTTGATTAGAGGAGGACGTTACCTATAATCTTTTTGGAGTGAGCGGACCCTTTTGCACCTTTGTAATTGTATGTTATGAAACAACTCATTTCTGACCATATTCTGCATGGTCCAGTTGCCACAATCATTCCATGACAGTAGAACAGAGCAGCCCATAGCAACAGTACATGCTCGACGTACTGACATGTATTAGTATGGAAAGATAGAGAATTTCCACCATGATGTAGAGGTTGAACTCTATACTCCTCTTCCTTGAACTGACAGAAATGACGATTTTATCCACTGCAAGAAAGGAAATTCACCAATATGCATAACATACAATAGGATTTCAAGGCTTACGTCAGGAAAACATTACCAGTATCACCTGCTTCACTTATCGTTCCGTCAAGCATCGAGTGGCTGGAGCAAGCGCTAATAAATCCTTCATTTTTCCTTGACGTGTACAAGAGTAGCCCAGTGGGTGCTTCTCGTACCATCTCATCTTTACTTTTGGGTCTTTGTAAAAAACCTTGACCATAGAGTCGTTGTCTTTCTGCAGTAGGTTTGACAGGCCGTGGTAACCAACTACTCTTGTTCATCGCTTGTTGCTCACACGCATTAATTCTCCACTCCACCTTATCTTCGACAGTTTGACGGTGCGTATAGAACGATGTCTTTTATTCTTACTGGTTGACACTGATCGGGGCTTCGAATCCTGTACCTCATTTGCATGACACGGCATACTCCTAGCATCATCCTTTCGGTTGCGCCTTCGAATAACGTTTAGTTACCATTCTTCCACTGCTTATGCAGCGACCAGGTTTCTGAGGCATGCATTAAAAATGAAAGAATAGTGGAGTCGAAAAATTGGGCATGGAGGAGAATGTTTTTTATTCTGTCCACCACATCCTCGATGCTCTTGGAAGGTCCGCAAGCTGCTCCGTTTCTCCTGCTCAGCATTGGTGCTAATTCGTTCGTCATGTTTGAGTTCCAGACCGAAATACACGTAGCTGGAGCATTTGGAAATATTTATTCCGTTGAGCGTTTCCGGTGCATACGAAGCCAATCCGTTTCTCATAGAAATCGTTGTTGTGACATTTAGAAGAAGACTAATCATCCACAGGCTTTGCCAAACTCAGTAAACATTCGTTTTCCTGGCTACGGTGTGGAGTTATGAGGGCTATGTTATCGGCAAAGCGAAGGTGGTGTAATTGCTGGCCGTCGATTTTCATTCCCATATTGTCTCATTCCAAAGTTCGCATGACGCCGTCGAGGGTGACGGTGAATAATTCTGGCTAGATGATAACATCGTGGCTAATCTTTCTTTTGACATCGAAGTTAGTATCATTGTAGAATGGTGATTTCTTGGTTGTAAAATCTTTATATAGCTCACGAAAAATCTTTGTAGATATATTGAGTAGGAATTCCGTGACTATCAAGCGCTTCCGTAACCGGCTTTATCTCAGTTGAGTCAAAAAATTTTTTTAAATCGATGAAAGTGAGACATAAGGGTCTCTTGTACTCTCGCGATAACTCATTCAGTCTTCTTTAAAAGTGGATATAATACATCGCTCTGAATCCATCCCGAAACCCTGCTTGCTCACATTACTGTCCTTCGTCCAGTGTTCTGTCAATCCTGTTTAGGAAGACATGAGTGAAGGTTTCTAAACGAGAGACAGACAGACAGTAAGCAGATTGGGCAATAGTTGCCGATATCGCAGAAGTCACTCTCCTTGAGCAAAAGCACGGTCCTGCCGGTCTTCCACAGAGGACGAACCTTGCATTCAGACAGGTAGCGCTTGAACATCTGAAAGATTGCGTTGATGAAGACTGGCGGAAAGTTCTCCAAGTGCTCAGATCCTATCTTGTCCGCACCTAGTGCTGTTCGATTTCTCACCAGCGAAACACCACGTTGGATTTCGGGAAGGGAGAATCGGTGGTACGACACATCCATCCTCCTTTACTTCACATGGTGGAAGGTGGATGCGGTTATTGAAGAGATCTGAGTAGTATTCGTGAATGATTTTCTCCATTGATTTCTGTACGTTGTAACTGTTCCGTCCGGACGTCGGAGTGCAATCATCTTGGTCTTGTAATTGGCCAAGCTTCAGTGGGCTTTGCGAATACTTTTTCCAGCCTTTGCAGCTTCGACCCCAACTGCTGCTCTTCTGTCTTTAAGATCTTCTTTTATTGCCTGCCTGCGATTCCACGTTGGCGTATCAGCTTGAGTGTTTCTGGAGACAGACCTCTGTGGCGACTTTCCAGCTCTCAGGTTTCATACCGCTAACGTGAAAATGTTGAATGAGCCGATCGCAGTAATCGTCGGTGTTATCAAGAACGGTATGTTCCTAACAGCCGACCACTGATCTGAATAAATCCCAGCTTATTGTGGTTTGTGTATTCGTTTTTGAGTTTGCTGGCTTTTTTGTCGTTTTCGCAAGAATTGAAATCATTCACTCTGCTACGCAGAACTCTTCTACTGTGATGTGGTATACGCCGTTATGGTACTTTTTATTGGTGGGTTTCCACCTTCGTTATTTACGGGAGGCATCTGGGGTTGCGAGCTATCTTCGGTGGTCTTGGTCGTCTTGATAAACTCAGACAGCCACTCATACTACTCGTTAACTTTTAGCCCTTCGGTCTCAATGTGACGCTCTTTAAAAGTTTTTCTAGGTCTAATCTTAGCGTTCAATTTTCGGATAATGACTTTCAAGAAGGAATCTATAGTCATTAAATTATCGTCTCGAAGCCTACCTATGTAGACAGCCTCGGCTGCGTTATCGCCATAGCCTTGTTGTTGGTGCATAAACAAGAAGATTGCCAAAGCCGATGTTGACCCACATCTTTTCAGTCATAGACGTCCGATCCTTTTTGTGATTTGTTGGAATGAACCGACCTTCATGGCCAAACTCTAGTTGACGAGAACGCCAACGCCGCGGTCTCCTTTGGTGTCGCATGCTCCGAGGAATAGTTCTTCGCTAGTGTCATTGGTAGTCGTACCTTATCTTTCTTGCCTGCTCGATCAAGTCTTCTATTCAAGACTCAGATTCAAGTGTGCGTGCAATGTGGGTAGAGATCGTCACTCAAGTTCATTGCAATTTAGGCAGCCTAAAATGGGTTTGAGATTTTAGCAGCCTTTTCTTACTCGTGCTACCATAGAAAGGCTTTTTCGTGCTTTTTGGAATGAGGCCCGTTTATTTTACAGTGTTTAGTTCTTTCTTACCCTGGTATAACTTGGTGAACTCAGAATGTATAGCCTGAGCATGCTCACGGGATGCTTGCCAGTCTCCTCTCCCAAAGTAAACGGGATGCTTATTTTCTGGAGGCGACTCTTAACAGCTTTCCATATAGTTCGCTCTCACTTGGTAACAGGCTTTTGGCCAAAATAACTCGTAGAATGCAATTCATAACGGAAACACACCGACGCATGGATGCATGAATATGTCTTCGTAAATACGGAAAGTATTTGTCAAGTCGATGCAGGAGAAAGAGCGAATCCGTCCCCTGTATCCATCTTCATCTCAAGGAAACAAAGGTCGCTTTCGGGCCCAGGTATTACAGTGGTTAGTCACGGAAACGTATTGGAATAAAACTGTTCATGTGATTGAAGCCGTGTTTCGCAGACGAGTTTTGGAAAAGTGAAGAATTCTAAGCAGCCGAATGAAGTGAGAATTCCTTGCGTACTGTTGCTTAATTTTGGAGTTAGAGATTCAGTGTTCCGATTTTTGCTGATACGTTTTCATTTCGCTGTCGTTTTGCTGAAGACGTTTGAAGCATTAAATTATTGCTAAATGTTCTACTCCATTGTTCCATCGATGGTTCTCGAAAGTCGCTATTTTCTACGGAATCTCTTGACCTATACCTTTTTTAGATGCCTTTGTGCAGCAACTTTTTCGACTTTGCGCTTGCATCGATGCCAATCGTTGCAGTGGTATCCATCTGGTAAATGCGTGTTGAACAAAGACTCGCATTTTGGGAAGTTCGATCTCATCGAACAGCAAGATGTGACGTATCAATTCGTCAGCTGCGATGTGCAAGGTGTAATGCCTAAAATTACAAATGAAGTTCTGTTAATCTACCAAACTATCTGGTTTCATTTTTCGTTAAATAAAATGTATTTTAGTTCTTCTGAAGATTTCTTCCAAAATTTGCAATGCTGACGGCAGTTCTAAATTCCCAGCTTCGTCATCAGGTAGTAAAAACCACTTTTATTTTGAGTATTATTCAAATTATTATATACTTTCTTCAAGATTACATAAGCACTTCAACAATTAGATCTACATCGAAGGGAATTCCTAATCGAGTCGAGTCCGTCACAGGCAGTTTATTTTTGTACACTAGCGTTGCTTCGTAATGAAGATGATGAGGCGTCAAATAAGCTTTTACCGTATCTAACTTGCAGTTTTAGATTTTATCTGTTGTTTATTTGATCACCTTTAGACTCGTATATATATACACACATACATATGTGTATAAACATATGTACATATATATTTCAGATGTTCCAACAGCGGTGCGGAATTTCATGACGGCAACAACGACAAGTTCAACGAGAAAAATCACTGATATGTCACCCACAGAAGATCTAGAAGGAACGGCCTCTGGTGAAGAAATTACCGAGATCGTAAAAACGGATAAGGGAGCAACGATAGAGATGCAGGAGCCGTTTGATGACAGCAAAACTCTTACGGGATTTGATAATCGAATCGAGTCATCGAGAACAGAGGTTATGCAACACGGTACATCGAATTCGACAATTTCTTCAATGTCAAACACATCAGAATACGATGCTCAAAATGTCTCTCTCAATATAAGTAAGTCATTTCTGTTTAGCAAGAATCCTAAATCAACAAGATAGTGAATCTTTATTAAATATAATGAGCATGAAATAGATGTTCTTGCTTGCTTAACTACGTCATTATTAAGAGCTTTGCGAGTTTATGGCAAAGGTGAACAGAAATCACATTACTGTTTTGTAGTTAATAATGGTTGCTTCGAGGAAATTTCCGGCTACATGATGATTAATGTCGCCGCTGGTCTAGAACATGACGTTAGTATGGAGGAATGCAAATGTTACTGTGCGAACAGCAAGTAATAATATATGATTTTATCTAATTACTAAGAATTTACCTTTTTTATATATATCTTTCTTCGTCTCTTTATTTGTAGAATTTTGCAGATTCGATTTACTATCGCACTTTATTGTAAGTTTCTTCAATTTAAATAGTATCTCAGTCTCTTCAGCTGCATTTCTTTAAGGATATCTCGACGATATTCGTTTGAATGTCTCTCATCCACTTATTACCACGAGGAACGCGACTGTGTTCTAAATTTGGACGATCGCCATCGAAGTCCACAACTTTTGGAGAAACAAAGCGGCCAACACGCTATCACGTACCTTGCACCAACTTGTGAAAAAGGTTCTCGAAGTTCTTAAGCACCTCTTTGTGTAAATCGCTCCAGCCAACCTTTTCTATGTGATAATTCTCTAGGGTAAGCTTGGCAGGTGTTACCATCACTCCGGCTACAGAGTGCTTTTGTGACACTAACTCAATCTTATTGGTATGGCAAAGCATCTGCCAAAGCTTGATTTGATGGAGCGATGTTAAATGAAGGTTCCTGAGTGAAAATTAACTTCTTGGACTATACTTCATGAGATATAACTTCAATGATGCTGAGATATTTGCAAAACTCCGGACCGCAGGTGTATGCGGTGGGGAACGAACACGCGCTGTTGTCCTTACCGGGGAGCAGCGCACTTCACCACCACACCATCCGAGATCAATCCCGTTGACGGGTGATTGCTGATGGCAAAAGATCGTTAGAACTACCTGAGAGACAGGCAAAACGAAAGACCCGGATGGTGTGGTGGTGAAGTGCGCTACTCCCCGGTAAGGACAACAGCGCGTGTTCGTTCCCCACCGCATTCACCTGTGGTCCGGAGTTTTGCAAATATCTCAGCATCATTGAAGTTATATTTCACAATGTAAACCCTGCCGTTAAAAAGAATAGGCAGTAAATAATACGTTAAATTGTGATTATAACTGCGGCCTCAGCTCAACTGGGTTCAATGCCGATTTGGGCTTCCCAGATCAACCCGCTGACAGGTGATTGCTGTGGCAAAAAGATCGATAGAAATAGCTGAGATACAGGCGAAACGAAGGACCCGCATGGTGTGGTGGTGAACGCGTTACTCCCCGGAAAGGACAATAGCGCTTTCGTTCCCCACCATAGACACCTGCGGTCCAGAGTTTTGCAAATATCTCAGCAACGTTGTGGTTGTATTTCGCTTAGTAACCTGCCATGAAAATTATAGAAGGCAGAAAACAAAACGTTAAACATTGTGTTTTCAAAGAAAGTTGGATTCCATGGACCTTTCGAAGGAGCATTGTTTTTCCAAGCAAAATCGAGCTTGTGTTTTTGTTTTCTTTTCTTTCCATATTATAGGTGAAGAAAGAAGGAGGATTCGGCTTTTCCTTGAAAATATATGGATTTGTAACGTTTTGACAACGTCATCTTCTCTTGATTCGCATACTTCCCTGAGATGAATAATATTTCATCGGCATTGAAGCTACTCGAACTTTAAGAAAAAAGCTATAGCTCTAAACAAATTTATGTCATTGTTATAAACTATGTGCTCATATACTTCTGGTTAGTGTGATTCCCTTAGTCATTACCATTTCGACATTATTCACCTCAAAACACAGAAGTGGAAAGGGTTTTTTGATTTTGAGCGCTTAAAACTTGCAAATTCTTCGATGACATATTTCATCCCAATTTAAATCTCTCGCTCACTTTGTCCGAGCTTTACTGGTCAGAGGTTCACTGTAACACAGACGGAGTCGTTGCTTCGATCGCTAGTCGCGGTTTATCAACCGCCATTGTTTGGGGTCAGCAAACAGCACTAACATGGATCGCTGGGCCATTGAAATTAATTTTATAGGTCAAAAGTACACATAATCAATCTAAGATCCAATGAACGGAGTCGAATACATGATACATCCATAAGTGACTAATTAACACCGAAAACTTTCTTTTTTAAATCCAGAGCAGTGGATGTGCTGTTTAGGTGGTTGTCTTCTCCAAGATAGAGCCCACTATGAATCTATTTGTTTTAGACGAAACCACTGCATCGTTAATGAGAAATTCATTCGATATTACCTGCAAACGGGTGACGCAGAACTCGATGTCAACATCGAAAGCACGGAAAATGGGCGGTTTGTGGAAAATAATAATACTTTTTTGTTCATTAAAAATAAGCAAACTTAGTGCTTCGTTGGGATGCGGGAAGCGCAATGGTTAGAGTAGCCATTCAATAGTGCTCATGAGGTTAGTAGTTCAACGCACCCCGGACCAACCACTATCCTCTAGTCGTAGGGGTGGGAGAAGTTGGCACCAGGCTTGCGGCTGCGATGAAAACTCCGAAATGCGCTAACACGACGGGGTATCTCAACATTCCAAGAAGAATCGTCCCGATGCTATTGCGATTGCATTCATAAACAAGATCAAAAATCCTCATGCAGTAGTCGTACCCAGAACAGAAAAAAATTCCAAACCCTCTGTGGGATAAACGTTGAATGATGTAAGGAAACGAACTGAATTAGAAAAGTGCCGGGATCTCCATAGTATTCGATGCCAGACCATATAGGTAAAAAAGTGCTTGGTTAGAACAATGACTTTGGCCCCGTCATCTGCTGTTGTTTTGCAGGAGGTTCAGATGATCAAAAGGAATAGTGCTTGATGGCTGAGCAAACTGGGAAAGCGCATAGTTTTCTTTTATTAATATATGTTTCTTTCAGCGAATACCGATGAGTGTTTCCTTGAATTGGCGGATTTTGTTTTGGAAGGTACTGCTTTAGCCATTGAGACCACAGTTTCCGTCCAGAAGTGCAAGTGTAAATGTATTCAGGGAGAATTAATGTGAGTATGTGAAATTGCTTATTCCTTGAATTTTTGTAGTGATTTTTTTGTTGTGAGCATGGTTTTCTCATAGTTGCAATTGACCTTAACCACTTCATGTAGAAAAGATAATCTATTTATGCCTGTTCAACTATTTTTTGTAATGTACCTTCTGTTGCGAACGCAAATGCAATTGAAGCATCTGTGTTACATCCAGCAGAGCATGGTAGTGAGGAACAGTTTATGGCTCATTTTCACGGTTTTTGAGCCTTCATACGAAATCCTGAATCCTAAGTATTTTTCCAATTTTTAAAGAACTTTTCCTAAACAGTTTAGAACAAAAGAACAGTTTATAGAAATCTTTTTTAGCACTGAAATTATAGAGCAGCATCCCTTCTATGAATCTGTGTATTTTTCTACGAAAGGCTCAAGGCGTCCCAGGTTTCAGATATGGTGAAGCGTGTCAGTCATTCCAATACTATTTCGACAGCAACACTTGCTTAATTAACAAGCAGAATAGGTAACATTTGATTTTAAATGCGCTGATACAGTCTGATACCTATTTACCATAACTGCTACTCTCTTCGTAACACTACTTGTCGTTAATGTTTACGACTACGATCTCAATGATCAAAGAAGACCCTTGGAGGGAAAAGTGACGAGAATCTCCCATTACTGTTAATTCTGCATATTACGTGATTATTTAGATTTTCAAATCCTGAAAATTTGATCTATGTGCCAAACTCTCATCCGCGTAGTTACTTCGAGCACAAGTGTGCAACAAAAGGTAGGACTGTGTTAAATAATTTACAAGCACGGTGGAAAAATAGGCACAGAGCAAACTAATTTGAGAAGTGTTCATGCGATTAGTCACGAAGCTATGCAATTAATACATCTCCAGGTGGCGCATTAGGAGGTTAAATGCGCACAAAAACTATACACTTGTTAGACACGCAAGACAAACCTCGATATGATTTGAAATTCCTGTCTCTAAAGCACCATATTAATTTATTTCATCTGTACGAAGTGTAGTCACATTGTAATTTGTCGTTTCTTTACATCGAGAGGGTTTTCCTCTATGCCCATCTGCAATGTATAGTTTTGGGTTCATCTCTCTCTATGGTACAAGGTAGAACTCCATTTCTGCAACATCATGTTAACATCAAGAAGGACTGTCATCACAATCTATGCATGTTTACACCGACACAATAACATTGGAGTCCTTCCGAAAACGTCGAAAAACCTAGCACAGTATCACGAAATTAAAAGGTAGAGCTAGAAGGATTCTCGCCGACACCGGACTAGATGGAGCGAAAACTGCAAAACAGAGCGCATGATTATTCGAAATCTCAATCATTCGAAAATTCTTGACTTGCTTGCCTGATGTTTGTATTCATTATTGACAACAGAGACTACGATTATTACACGCTCATTTAGAGCAAGAGAAGACATCCCGGAACATTTTAGAGTTTACACACCAGTTCACAGCTGCATGAAACGCAGACAACTGCGAAACTGCATCTAAGCTTACGAACAGCAGCAGAAAATCGATAGAGGGAAGCAATACTAGTCTAAGACGGAAACTAGTTGTTGCATCCACAATCTTCGCAGAACATTCGTCAGATATGAAATCAGGACGACCGTTCTTGGATAACGAACATACCGGCTTGAGTTGAAGACTAGTAATAACATCGACAACGTTCGCCGGTCTTGCACCAGGTATGAAACTTGGGCGATCGTTCTTGGATTTCCAAACAGGACAGCTATTGTATCGCGGATGAAGAGCGAGGAAATATAAATGACGAAACAGGTAGCATAGGTATTTCAGCAGTGAGCATTTATTGAAATCTCCCATTTGCGTTTACATCTACACTTGGATCATCTTTTATAAAAATATCTGACCATCGAGTGTACTCCTTCATAAATTTTGATCACAAAAAACCTGAATTTCAGATGCTATTCGTTATAATTATGTGGCTGATTTCTGCACTAATGATTCTAGTGAACTTCAACATAACACAGTTAATGTTGCGAACAGATCTGAAAGGGTTTGAATGTTTTTCTCCTTCTTAAACTTTTGTTAGACAAAAGATAAAAATTTCAAATCTTTACGCGGCTAGGCTTACAACTGGCAACAAGGCAAATATGATTGGGAATGGTATGGAAGTTTAGACACCGGAAACACAGTCTTTATAGTTATTGTGCAATACAAGCATGATTTTCAGTTCAACCCTCTCCTGAGTCTCCATCCCTCACAATTCGGTGCCAGATTTGTTTGTGAAATGCATGACAAAGACCTGGTCGCGCTCTAGCGGAGCTCTCACCGGATTCCAGAGAGAAGTGCTTCAATCAGCGCTCAACGATATTCGTGGAGAAGACGAAATCGTCGAGTAGCAGCTGAACGAACCTGCAAATCAGAATGCCTTTGTGAATCTTGATATGTAACGCAGCGTACCGAATAAGAGATTTGCTCAGATCCTCATTGTATGTGAATACATGTCAAGTGAAAAATATGAATGCCATACGGATGCTGAAATATTCGCAAAACGGGCCTCCCTGGTACAGTATGTATTCTGTGAGCCACCGAGAAGGGAAATCGTGGTTCGATCTGGCCCGGGGGCCAAGTTTTGTGAATATCTCAACATCGTTGTGGTTGATCTCGCCTAATACCCTGCGTGAAAATTGTAGTAGGCAATAAATAAAAAAGTAAGCATTATTAATGTCATACCTGATACACTAAAGAACGAAATGCGCAATTAAGTGTGCTTTTCATTTTTGTAGTTGAAACGACGCAATTTTCATTTGAGGATAATGAGAAACCTGGCTTGGAAGCGATGGTCACCATGGTAACAGCCTCTTCGAAACCTAACGACGAAAGTCCAGATGCTGATGATGTGAGTAGCTTAGTATTGAAAAGCACTTGTTATCCATATTCTTTCCATTTTCAACTTTTTAAATACTACATGAAAATCATTTGAAGAATCCACAAAATGATTTGACTTTTTCATGCTTCATGCATTACTTGATATGTTGTAGAGGCATCTTGCAAGCAAACAATTTTTATGAAGCGTTACCCACTTGGGATAGGTTTAGAAGAAGAGCCATGATTCCAAATGTTATGTCTAGAGAGAATGAGTTCCTAGACACCCTATCTTTTATTCCCAACTAAATAAACAAGGCTATAAAACGTTGCTTAAAAAAGGCCGGTCAAGAGAAATTAGTACCATTGATTTAATTATCACCAAACTCTCTAAGACGCCTGCTAGTTTCTAACCGTTTGTGTAGTCATTTCTACATAACGCAAAATTTTATAATTTGCTGTAACGGTAAAGATGGTGATTGCATGAGTGGGGGACGGTTTATCTAAGTTTATCTAATCACAACGTTTAACGTTTCGTTTTCTGCCTTCTATAGTTTTCATGGCAGGTTACTAAGCGAAATACAACCACAACGTTGCTGAGATATTTACAAAACTCTGGACCGCAGGTGTCTATGGTGGGGAACGAAAGCGCTATTGTCCTTTCCGGGGAGTAACGCGTTCACCACCACACCATGCGGGTCCTTCGTTTCGCCTGTATCTCAGCTATTTCTGCCATGAAAATTATAGAAGGCAGAAAACAAAACGTTAAACATTGTGATTTTAACTACACCCATAGCTTAACTGGGTTCTATGCCGATTTGCGCTTCCCAGATCAACCCCGCTGACGGGTGATTGCTGTGGCAAAAAGATCGATAGAAATAGCTGAGAGACAGGCGAAACGAAGGACCCGCATGGTGTGGTGGTGAACGCGTTACTCCCCGGAAAGGACAATAGCGCGTTCGTTCTCCCCCATAGACACCTGCGGTCCAGAGTTTTGCAAATATCTCAGCAACGTTGTGGTTTTATCTAATCACTTCTAAAGCGTGGAGGGATAAATGCATTGGCGAAAGGGGTAGACCACTGTGCGTCCGTGTAAAAGAACACCTAGTCGATATGCGAAGAGCTGAGCAAAGTAGTCCACTAGGCGAGCTTACGGCACAAAGCCACAACAAGGAAGATTTTGAAGTGGAAAGCACCATGTTCCTACAAGAATCTAAAACTTTGACGCGAAAACCGTTTAAGCATTCTGGATAAATTCCAAGAACCCAAAGATGAACCGCAAGGAGGAGTGCCTCATTATCATGCGAGATTCGATGCAATATGTGAGACTGATATTTTAAAGTGAGAGGAGCTTATTGCCTGTCATGTGAGCTCTGCACGGCTAGCTTCCACGTGAATACGTAGTGGAAGACTCATAAAAAGTAGGGAATGTGTGATGAAGCTGTTTTATATCCAATGGGATTGAAAATTAGGTTTCCTGTAAAGGCTATGGAGTTGTTTGGCTGGCTAGGTTATGGTTAACTTGGCCATTCCAAGCCTTAAAGAAGACTAAATCCTTGCTCACCAGTGCTGCGGTTAATAAAAGTAGGTCTCGGGAATAATTTTCATCTAAATCATCTAAAATTGAACAAAAGCCACAAGGTAAGTTTAATACCAAGCAGCAAAAGTTAGAGGATGCTGCAAGATACCCTCAGGAATGTGCCTCAGTGATGTTATCGAGAAATTTCAGTTTCAGAAAAACAAAAACCTTAGTCGAATGCCCATGGCAGAATTTATGGTGTTTAAAAAGGTGCGTTCTATGCACTTCGTCACGATGCACTGCTGAAGAAATATGTTATACGTTGAAAATTACTTTTCTGCAGAACGAACGAGATCCATCAAAATGGAACCCAAGCAATGAAGCGGGAGGCGGAAGGTTTCTTACTGCGGGAAATCAATTACAACACAAATTTGACATTCCCGAGGCCGAAATGGAGGAAGATAATGCAGTGATGGAGGCTCCATCAACATCGACCACCACCACAACCACCACCGCAACTAGGCAGCGTGCTAAACTGAAACGATATGTTGTGGTAATCAAAGTCACATAATTATTCAGCCTCGAACCTCGTAATTATTTGCTGATGTTATAGAGGGCGTATGTGAACAAGAACATTCCAGAAACGGATGGGTTGGACGAGCGAGAATTCGACAAGATCGTTGAATTAGAATTGGTATGCTCTTTAGCAAGTTTTTTGTTGTCTAAATGAACAGAGATGCCTGTTCCTATTTGTTTTCAAGAAGAAGAAGAAAAGGATCGAACGGAAGTTGTTTAATACCGAAAACTGATAAAACACTCGGCGTTAGTAAAATTTTGAGGGATGCACTATGCATTGGACTTCATTCGTATCATAGTATAGATGACTTAATAAATATTAGAGCTATACAATGATTTGAGATTGCCGACTGATGTGTCAAGTCAGTGTCTTTATCTTAATGGACAAGCCTAGGACCATTTCCTTAGAACGGAGGACTTAGCTTGGTTGGGAGTAGACTCGAGCCGACGACCCTGTCGGTATTGCATGGTTCATCAAAAGACCGCGTTGTCACGCCCATATTATTTAAAACTTGGTTACTTACTTATTCAGTCGGTTCCTCATCAAAAGGGCTCCAGGCACCAGCTCGTCTTCTGTTCATTTCTTTTTCGCACCATAACCACCCATCGTGGTGGGCTGCTCTGGAGATGGTGATGGAGGCGAGGCACATTCTATAATCCAGAAATTGTTTCTACTTGCTCGTCTGAGAAAAATAGTCCGCTTATCGTTTGGCTGCTCGTCCGTGAAGACATTAGCATTTTCTTGGATTCCATTACACTCTACTTTTTCACCATCTGTTTTCTGTCTTCTGGTTATGAGACCGATTATATTTCAAGAGACCTTGTTCAAACACTCTCTGGGTTGTGCACAGAATTGTTGCCGTTGTCGGAGTACCATCCTACGTTTCTGCTGCATAACACAGCGGTGGGAGAACTGCTGAGTTGAAAAGGTGCACGCAGAGTTTTGGGTCCGTTAGTTGGTTGGTTGCTTCTTTGAGAGACTCAAATGCACCCAATGCCGCTCTATTTCTTTTGTACATTTTCTCGCTGTTATTGTTTTCCATGTTTGTTTAACGCCCAAAATACACGTGCTGGGTGGTCCTTGTAATAAGAGAATTATCCAGCCTGATTTGTTCACCTTCGGACCATGGGTTTTTGATGAGCTGGGTTTTCGTCCAATTTGTTTGATGTCTAGTCATTTTTCCTGCTTCGTTGGGCTTATCAAGCATCGCTTTTACCTTATTGGAACTTCTCAAAAAGGTTGGGAGAGCATCAGCAAAACAAGAATTTGATAGATGTTCACCATCAATGTATATGATCTTCTCGACCCAATCGATCAACTTCCTTATCCACTTAAATACAGCTTGTTGAGTTTTTTTATGAGAATGGTAAGAGGTCAACGAAAAAGCTGTAATTTATGCTACACTTACGGTAATCGCCAGTGGACGAGCGCTGATCGAATTGCTTTTGTTTAGATAGTGGTTTGTTTAGGCGCTCTCAACCGCTTTTTTTGTCAATAAAAGTTATGACAAGCGGCAGATGGTAACCCAAATAGACTTCGATGGTACGGAACATCGTTTAGATTTGGTCGGTGATGCAGAATCCCTGTCAGAATCCTACACTATCAAGAGGTTGCGCCTCATCTGCCCACGATATGCGCGACAAGACAATCTTTGTGAAGAGCTTGTAGAATGCGCTCAATAAACATGACGGCCGACAGTTACGAAGAACCGTTTGGTCACTCTTCTTGGGTAGGATACCGTGCGTGACGTCCTTCGCTACTCTGAGATTATTTCCATGTGAATGTCATATGGATTGAAGAAAGTATTATGCATAAATTTGTGACCTCAAGCTCTAAGGAAATCGGATGCGATATTATCTGGTCCTAGAGCTGCTTTCTTCAGGTTTTTATTGTACCGAGTGCTTCAGATGGCAGCATCGGTTTCTCCAGCAGGCATTCTGGCTTTTGCGACGAGAATTGTGAAAAGTAAAAGATTTCTATACAACTTCTCTGCTATCGATTCCAAATTATGGCCACATGTGTTGATAGTCTCAACGTGCCTTTTTGGGTTATTGTGTTAGCACGAGGTTGATAAAAAAAAGTTTATTCGGTTAAGGTTTCGACGTCTTTGTTTTCTTCAGAGTCACACTGATCCAAGTCGATTATCCACAGGTGGTCGTCCTCGCTATGTGGCTGTTCATTGTTGCATCGAGTCGAATCGCCTAGAGTGGAGCACTGATAGAATCGAAAAAAAAGTCCCATCTTGGTTCATGATGATGGATAGCCGGCCACTGCGGTCCTACAAACTATGAAGACACTTCTTCAGATCAAGCTGTCTTTGAGTTGCTTCTGATAACTTTTTTGGCTCATAGCGATGTAGACCCTCCCGCAAAGAATTTCTACGGCCGGCATTTTTGCCGAGACCATGTTAGCTGTGTAGCAGTGGAATTAAGCTTCAGTATCTATCCTCGATCCTCGTATCTTTAGTGAAAACGAAGATGCGATCAGAACACCTTGTTTGAGGAACCGTTGCGAGTTCGTAACAAATTTTAAGTCCTTCCATAAGCAGCTTGTAGTCATCGGTTGGGTTTTTCTTTATCTGCTAGTAATGCGAGAAGAAGAGTAGATTGAGAACATTTACTTCATATACAACTTGTATCGCTCCTCTTGGATAATAACAGGCTCTTTTCTGGCTTACAGCTGAATCGATCCTTAGAAGAAAGCGCGCTCAACATATCTAGTAGACAATCACGGCACCACGGCGGTGTCAAAGATGCTTCACCTTCTGCTTTTAAGAGTGTAGTCGATCTCCTTGCGCGATGTGCCGTTGGTACACTTTCATTTCTATAGGAGGACTATTTTGTTTTCGAAAAATGAATTCCCATGGAGCAGACGTGTTGTGGAAAGGAGTCTTGCAAGGCAATTCGCATCCTCATTTCCATTTCAAACTCCGAATTTTTTCAGTTCTGTATTCATTTTCGCTGCCCGTTCCTAAACTAGCATTGGTGTCTCCAAAGCGAATTTTTAGAAGCGCTTCTCCTTGTGGATTGCTTCTTCCAAATGATTAAGGAACGCGTTCATTTTGTTTTCATCAGGTGTACAAAATGGCGAGAAGAACTAGATGATGGTAAATTTCTTTGAACGCATTATCTGTAGAGGATTAATGGGCAAGCGAAGTGATAGAACCTTGTATGAAATGATCGGATGGGAAACAGGTGGACTTACAACAAAAGCAACGGCTGCGCCTTTTCGTACTGGAATTTGCCATTCATGAATCATAGCGGTGTCGTCATTCAATTGGCGCACGTCGGTCTTCCTGCATTTTTCTGTTGTAAGAAGATGATATGGAAATGAAGCGATCAGCGTCCCTAAGAAGAGCGTAGAGATAGGCATCTGAAAACAGTTTCCAAATGAAGACGGTGCTGTACTATAAACAAAACTACGGACGCCACCTGAAAAAGGCCCTTGCTCTGCTTTTTCTCAACCACTTTTCTCTAGTCTCCATATCGTATCGTGGACTCATTCTTCTGGTCAGGTTCTAATGATATCCTGAGCGACAAAAGATCTGATTGCCTCTTACTGATTATTTTGCCACCCAGCGTCGTAGGAAGGAGTTCTCAGTATGCGAGGCAGTGAACTTGATCCACTTCTAGCTGAGTAATTCTTCGACCCCAAGGTAAGG